CCTTAAAGACATGGCTTCGCTTGATGAGAGTAACTAGTACTCCCAAGGCGTGACGCCGCAATGGCGGTACCTTCTAGTTAGGTCACAACAGTGTCATGGTTTGACCCATTTCCACTGCATGTAACCGAACCTAGAGGCCTAGGTTATCTATACAATGTAGTGTGTTACCACATCTACCTGTATAGGTGCCCAGCTAGCTCCAAAACCTTCACATGATAGAATCAACTATCGACGGGTTCCCTTTCTTTTATTAGGAAGGTGCTTCACCTAAAGAAGAAGTCGGGACTACTTTTCACTGCGCTTTCTTTCAAGCAGTGTTCAGTAGCCTTGCAACGGGCTTACGCCGGTAACAAGGTTGATTCCCCTTCTTATGTCAGTGTATCACTGACTCGATCTGGGTATCCCCGAATTATTCCCACCCGTCATCGCCATATTCTTCAATGTGGAAATGATAGGTCGGATTACCTTGTCAAACTCTACTTGTCTTCGTTTAGTTTGAGTCGGATCATTGTAATTGGGAAACCAGTTCACAAAGATACCTTCTATTCTCTTAACAGTCCTGTAGAGTGTATTGACTCGGTTCCATCGCCTATGGAGTAAGGGGATGAGTGCTGGCCGATTTCCCATGGGCTGGGTGTAATCATATTAATCACACCTGACTGAATATTCTGGGTTGACTGCGCCGGTGCAGCTGCAGCGAGTCTGTTGATGAGCGTAATCTATTGAGTGGGGTCAAATGTGCCCACTTTTCACCCCGTTAGAGGTTTGTGCAGGATGAGCCGGCAGAGGGTTGTTATTGATGTTTGGCTGAGCTGTTGTGTCCGGTAGAACAAACTGCTTTGTATCAATCAAATCCTGTATGACATGCCTCAAGTTCCAGCAGTTGTCCAGTGTCCACGGCTCTGGTGATAATGGCATATCGCGTTTGGATCATACCCGATTGGCAATGGATTTGGCGTAGGTTTCGGCTCTAAGAGGGGCAAGACCCCCTTCTGTACCTGTACCAGACCTCCCATCAACTTGCTCATCGGTAGCGGTAACGTAACGGAGTGAAGACAGAGAAACTCTAGATGGGCATACTCTTGCGCTTGGCCAGCACCAAACGAACGTTGTTCGGATTCAAGACAAGGCGCTAGAGGGGGCTTGATGATCGGAGAAAAGGAAGGGGCGTGGTTGATGTGTCACTGGGTCGGTGGGGAACCCGTAGGAAGGCGGGACGACCCGCCGAATTCACAGAAGAAATCGCCAACATGAAAACAAACGAAATCATTGAATTTCGTAGAGAAACAAAACGAACCACTTATCTTCTCGGAGCTGAGGTATATTCATCATTTTTTTTTGTCCCTTTCGTCCAGTGGTTAGGACATCGTCTTTTCATGTCGAAGACACGGGTTCGATTCCCGTAAGGGATAGGTACTTCTTCCCTAAGTCGGTCTCATTTCATTGCTGAGTGATCGCTCGCTATCTGGCTGGAAAGGGTGGTCCGGAAGCTTCCTCTCTCCGACCCAACTCGGAAAGCACTGCATTATGTGGCTTGGGATACGATGTGCCAACCTGCTCGGCTGGGAGGACTGGGCTTTCATGCCACCGAGAAATGGAAAGGGCCCTTGATGAGGGCGAGGATTGCTTGGCACTCTTTGCAGGACCGGGACTCACTTTTGCATAAATGCCTCGAGAGCAAGTATGGCAGGAATCTATGGCAAACGACTCATAACCGCACCGCCTCTAATACCTGGAAGGTGATCTGTGATGGGGCTGCTGCCCTAAAGACCATTACACGTTGGAAAATTCAAGATGGGGAAAGCATTAATGTCTTAGAAGATACATGGATCTATGACAGGCCTCTTGCCAAATGGCCTTGCTTTTTTGATGTCACTCTTCTCGAAAATCTCCAACTTTTGGTGGCGAGTGGTACAGAATGCCATTCCAACAAAAGCTTGGCTCCTAAAACGCGGCCTAACGGAGGCAGCCCTTTGCCCTTGGGGTTGTCAGGAGATTGAGAACCGATCCCACATTGTGTCCAGTTGTTTGTTGTTGAAGTCGGTGGCACAAAGCCTTGCCAATTGGGGGTTCTCTTTGCCAACATTTGCTAGCGTTACGGATGCCCTCCGTGGGCTTACTCAGGTTTGCACCGCTGACATCCCCTCTGCCCGTATGTTTTGTTATGCAGTTCACCATTGTTGGAGAGCTAGGAACGCGAAGGTTCATGGTCAAACGCATGGCACTCCGGTTACTCTTGCTGTCTCCATCCTTGAAGCCCTCACCGACATGCATCTCTTCCCATTCCGGGAGCAGTGGAATGCGAGCCAACCAAAGAGGTTGTTATCCCCTTCCTTCTGGCATCCCCCCCTCCTGGATGGATCAAGATCAATGTTGATGGGGCTCTTTCCTCCTCCGGTG